ATATATATATATATATATATATATATATATATATATATGGGAAAAATGTGAATATACCCTTAAAGGTATATAAACTTAGGTACCCAAACTCATAATAATACGTCGTTTGTTTGATATATTCATTATAATATTGTTAAACTTCAATCGTTAACTTGATTTATATTTAATATTTTTAAATTTTAACTATTATCTTCCTCTTACATCACATCTTTCTTTTTTGAACACTTACTAGGCTATATATATTGTTGTTGAAAATGACAATTATGTAAGAGGAGGATAAATATGAAATTTACAAAAATCTTTTAAGTAATTCAAGTTAGAAGTTGAATTATAAGAACATTGGACAATTACAATGTCTATATATGATACCAAACGATATAGTATGGTGAGTTTAAGTACGTAAACTTATATACCCTTAAGGGTATATTCACTTTTTCTTTTATATATATATATATATATATATATATATATATATATATATATATATATATATATATATATATATATATAAAAACTTAGGTATCCAAACTCATCATAATACCTTATTTTGTTTGATATATTAAATATAATGTTCTTAAACTTCAACCTTAACTTGATTTATTTTCAAGATTTTTGAAATTTCTCTATTATATTGCTCTTACATCACATTTTTTTCGAACACCTACTAGGCTATATTTATTATAGTTGAAAAAGAAAATTATGTAAGAGGAAGATAAATGTGAAATTTATAAAAAATTTGGAAGTAAATCAAGTTTGAAGTTGAATTATAAGAACATTGGACAATTACAATGTATGTATATGATTGAAAACGATGTGGTATGGTAAATTTGAATACTTAAGTATATATACCCTTATGGGTATATTCACTTTTCCAATATATATATATATATATATATATATATATATATATATATATATATATATATATATATATATATACATATAGGGAAAAGTGAATATACCCTTAAGGGTATATAATCTTAGGTACCCAAACTTACAATAGTATATCGTTTTATATCATATATATATATATATATATATATATATATATATATACATTATAATTATCCAATGTTCTTATAATTCAACTTATAACTTTATTTACTTGCAAGATTTGTATAAATTTCACATTTATCTTCTTCTTACATAATTTTCATTTTCAACATAGTAGGTGTTCGGTAAAAAATTATGATGTAAGAGGAAGATAATAGTGAAATTTCGAAAATCTATATTGTAAATCAAGTTAGGAATTGACGTTAAAGAATATTATAATGAATATACCAAACAAAATGACGTATTATGGTGAGTTTGGGTACCTAAGCTTGTATACCCTTAAGGGTATATTCACTTTTCTCATATATATATATATATATATATATATATATATATATATATATATATATATATATATATATATATATATATATATATATATATATATAAGGTTAACCATTTGAAATGCTTTTGTAAATATATAAGCTTTCGAAGCTTTTTCAATCTAATGGTGGATCCTATTTGTTGAAGGTGTTTTATAACCTTACATTGTATGAAGGTGTTACAAGCATAATGAGTACAAAAATGTATAAAAGCAATGCAATAATATAAGTGTAACATCGATCAATGAATTTGGGCTAAATATTTTAATATTAGGAATGATATAATGTTACATGTAATCATTTATATATAATTAAATTTCCTTAATTATAACAAGTATAATATCATAATGTATTATAGAGGTGTAATTGACATTCGGTTAATTTGAGGGTGCTAAACGTCATAAAGTAAAAACTAAATTATAAGTAAATTAACTAAAATAGTACAAATGTAAATTTGGAAAAACTTAAGAGGGAATTGGAGATCTATTGAATCAAGCGGAAGATCAGGGACTAAAAATGTAATTGTACAATTTACATCGAAAGCATGCATATCTCGACGAGATTTTATGCATTCTTCGTCAAAGCACTACAAAAACCCACGAGATTTAGCAGACTTACCCTATAAATAGAATATGAACCTTCCTTAGGGTATACGAACTCAAAAACATTTAAACGCCGCAGAGAAAGAGACGATCGAGAGAGAAAGAAGGTGAAGCAAAACGCGAGATGCTCTCTAGCTGTTCTTATTGCCGTTGTTGGATATCTATACCAGGTAAAGCCCTAAACCATCTCATCAAACTTGATTGCTTAAAAACCTATAAACTAATGAAAGTATCGTGGATTCGTGGAATCTGATTCTATTCCTCCCTCACACATTTCATCAAACACCATCTCTATTTTGCTACATTTTTCATGTAAAGTGTTTATGCATTCGCTGTTCTTCATCTTCTATGTATATTTTATTAAATAAACAAATTAAAAGATAACGATGAAGTTACCATGGAAGTAAAATTCTTAAACCAAACACAGACATCGATCATGATCTGGTAAAGCTGCATAATTACATGGAAGAACAAAATTAATAATTTGGAAAGGATATTGTTGATGATTTACTAACTCATGAAATGGCCAACAAGAATTGACACTATGACAAGGTCTTAAGTTTTAGAGTTCTCGATTTTGTAGATATTGAGAACCCATTTAATATCGAGAACATAGGTTATAGTAATCATGGAAAATATTTAAAAGTAAAAAACAGAAAATTGTAGTTGAAGGTGAGAAGCAGAAAAGATTGTGTTGCATATGAAAACAAATGGTTACAAGAAAATGTCGATTTTGCTACGGTGGGAATCCATTGAAAAAGACTGAAATTCTGTTGCAAAAGACGAATAACTATGAAATTTGCAACGGTCAATTTCCGTCCAAAAAAACGCCCAACGAGGTGTTTGCAACAGAAACTACAATTCCATTGCAGATGTGACAATGAAATCAAAGATGCATGGTGTTGTAGAGGATCTATAGTAACTTATGTAGCCATATATTTGTAGCAAATTCTATGGCCATGATTCAGCAACTAAATCTGTAGCAATATTTTCGTAGCAAAATTTGTGATGATGACTCTATAGCAACTTCGGTTGTCTTGGTTCCATGGCTAAATTCGTTCTCTAGATTCTATAGCAACTAGTAAATTACGTAGTCATGATTCCGTAACAAAGTCCGTTGCCATATTTCCGTAGCACAATCCATAGGCGTATTTTCATAACAATATCCATAGAAGTATTTTCGTAACAATGGTCATAGAAAAATCTTCAACAAATAGTTGTAACAAATTTTGTAGGAATATTTTTGTTGCAAAGCTAGATAGCTACGGATGAATAATTAATTTACAAATTAATTTCCAATTATTATATAAAAGCAAAAATAACAAAAAATCAAATAAGATTTACACCATAAAATAAAACAATAAATATTAATTACATGGGAATGAAAATTAACATAATTCAAAATAAAAATCTTGCAAGAAGCAAATCAACACTCTATGATCTACAACTTTTGTAGTTCTTTAAAAACGTTAATAACCGTCATTGACGATTGTAGTTGTCGTTCAAGCTTCTCACATTTTGTGTTGTGTTGTTCATCTTTAGCCTTTATTATTTTCTTTAGTTCTTCGTTTTGTTGTTTTTGTTTCCTCAAAAGCCACTTTAATTCTTCCGATTCATTATTTTTGTCTGGAATATAGGATTGTTCCGTTTTACCGTTAATCACTGGAATAGACTTTGCAAATGAGCCAAATCCATATAGTCTTCTTTTCTTGTCATGATCACCAACAATATCATAAAATATTTGGTCACCATCAATTTCTTCACCTATAGCTTCCGATTGTTCTCGTTTTTCTTTAAACTCCGCCTACAAAATTATAATAATTTAAAAAGATATCAAAGTTATGAATAATATGAAGGACTACAGTATAAAACTTTGCACTGCAATGAATGTTACATGAATTTTTCGTTCTTCTTCATTTGCAAATGTTACTCCATTGTGATTCTTCGTGTGTGTATATACAAGAACAATTCACTATGTGGTAGATCACATCCTAAACTCCTTCTCCGCGTAAATATTATCAAATGTATAATATAAACATAAACATACAAATTTTGATGAAACATTAAAAAAACTTACCAAATCAGAAGCAACCTTCAAATGAGAAGTGGTTCCAACGTTATGGGTAGGTTGTGGTATTCCATTTGCCACACCATTACACCTATAGATCTTATTTTGCTTAGATTTTTTCTTAAATTCTTCTTAATTCCATTTTGCTACCTAGGAGTTCCACACTTCTAGTGGAATATGAGCAGATGTCTAGACAGTTGGGTTTCTTTTTTGTTACGCGTGTTGAATAAATATTGATCATAACTTAGTGTCAAGTTATTAAACTAAAAATAACCAAAAAGAAGATAAAGAATAAAAAAAACAGACGAAAACCACACATTAATTTGGGTAATTCTAAAAAAAGACTAATAGGTGGCTTGATTGTCATATGAACGAGGAAATTGATCTAAACACTAAATTACTCATAGATTAGCATCATACTTATAATTTAGTCATTGTAATTATGTAGGAGAACGAAAAGAGCCTTATGATACATGGATGTAACAGTTTAGGAGGTAGTAAGAAGAACCAATCAAAATTGTTACATCATCATGCTTATCAATTTAGGTACTTTTAGCATTGTTTGATGCATATTTTAACAAGTAATTTTGTCCTCTTTCTGATTATGTCAAATTATTAGATAAT